GCTTATTGTAGCATTATTTACAGTAGCCAGGATACAAAGCAACTAAAATGTTCAGTGATATATGAGTAGGTAAAGAAATGTAGTATATACCTACAATGGGATATTACACAGCCATGAAAAAGAATGAGATTGTGCCATTTGTGGCAACATGGGTGGACCTAGAGGGTATTATGCTAAATGAAATAAATCAAACTGAAAAGACAAATACTATATGATTTCACTCATATGTGGAATCTAACAAAAAACAAATGAATAAACAAAAAGCAGAATCAGACCTATAAATATAGGGAACAAACTGGTTGTCAAAGGAAAAGAGTGGTAGGGATAGGGAAAATGGGTGAAGGGCAGTAGGAGATACAGGCTTCCAGTTCTAGAATGAGTAAGTCACAGGGATGAGAGGGACAGCACAGAGAATGTAGTCAATGATATTGTAATAGCATATCAGGTGATGATAGTAGCTACACATGTGCTGAGCATGGTATCATGTACAAACCTGTGAAATCATTGTGTTGTACAGTTGGAACCTGCTGGCCCAGTTACTAGCCTTGTGACCATAACAAGCAAGACCCCAGTTTCAGCAACAGGATAATAATACTAAGTTTATATGGTAAAGTTGAGGACTAATTAAGATATAAAGTTTAAAAAAATTTCTACTCTGAGCTCAGAGTCACAGGGGAGAAGGGCACATAAGCATTAAGATAATTTCCTACCCTTAAGGAACCCATATTCTGGGGGCAGAGACAAAATTTAGACAAATGAAACAGTAGCCAACACAACACAAGTGATAATTAGGGGAGAAATGGTGTGACTCAGACCTAAGACTATACTCATTTACGAGAGGATCTGTGAGAGTGAAGATTAATGGGAAGCGCTTTCTGTTGGGAGAGTACTTTATGTTGGAGAGGCAGGATCTAGAGGTAGGGTTAGGTTTAAATTCAGAAAAAAGGAGAGGGCATTCATTAAGTAAATAATATCACCTCTTGAGTACCAGGTATTGTGCTGGGTGTTACTGGGGAATCCTGGGAGATTATGGGAGACACTATAGGAACAAACAAGCAAGAATTCTGACCTTGTGCAGTACAGATCTGTTCAGATTTTGCATTGGGAAACCCTGAAAACACAACAGAGTAGACTTGAGGCACTTTAGGATGGCAGAGACCTTGGATATCATCTAGTTCAGTGGTTTTTGAGGCTAAAAATCACTAGAGAGAGGTTTTTTAAAAAGTCCCAGACTCCCACAGACTCCCCAGACTCCACTGGGGATTATGATTCAGTAGATGTGAGTTAGGGCCCAGCTAGGTACAGTTTTTTGAACTCCTCAGAAAACTGTGATGGTCACTCAGGTTTGGGGAATACTCATCTACCACGGGCTTGTTTTATAGAAAAGGTAACAAAGCCTACAGAATTAAGTGGTTTGGTCAGTGTAATTATATTTGGTGAGGTAAGCAATAAGAAGCTACTGTGGAATCGTAAAGAGGGGCGGGGCTCAGAGGGAGGAAGGAGGACAATCAAGTGTTATTTGTGGGAAACAGAAGAGAGGGAAGAGAAGGAGAGGTGCTGACTAAGATGTGACATTAATCCAAGATTGACTGAAACCTTGTGGTGATAGGAAAACAGATCAAGCAGCTCTTTTAGACTCCACTTTGTGTCCCTTGTCTTTTACCGCATAGTCTGACCCACGGAGTAGGGTGGGAATTTCGTTTTATTGTTATTTTGTTTTATAATGTGAATCCGTATGAAACTACCTCCTACATCTTTCCAGGTGTTAACTGTGAAGTTCTGTAGCACTATTCATACCCTACTGCAGCTATAATACACTAAGCTTTGTTACTTAGAGTGGGAAATGGTGTCTTCCAACCACTTGCAATGGCATCATAACCTGCAAACCTGTTAGAAAAGCAGAATCTTCTCAGGAAACAAACTGAGGTTGTTGGAGGGAGCAAGTAGAGGGTGTGGGAGGGACGGGGTGGCTGGGTGAGGGACACTGGGGAGGGTATGTGCTATGCTGAGGAAAAAAAAAAAGAAAGGCAGAATTTGGGGCTCCTCCCTAGCCCCACAGAATCATAACCTGCATTTTAATAAGATCCCCAGGCGTTCCAAATGCACATTAAAGTTTGAGAAGCACTGCTCTAAAGGGCTTCCAATTCTTTAGAATGAGAGCAACATTAAAATAAATAGGAAATAGGGGCGCCTGTGTGGCTCAGTGGGTTAAAACCTCTGCCTTTGGCTCAGGTCATGATCCCAGGGTCCTGGGATCGAGCCCTGTATCAGGCTCTCTGCTCCGCGGGGAGCCTGCTTCCTCCTCTCTCTCTGCCTGCCTCTCTGCCTACTTGTGATCTCTGTCAAATAAATAAATAAAATCTATAAAAAAATAAATAGGAAATAGATAAAAGTAAACAATTTGTGATTTCAAGCATAGGATGGAGCTGGCTTAATGAACTGAGGTATACTCTCCAAAGCCACTTTTAACTACCAGGATATACTGTCTCTCAAGTGTTCCAAGAGTTCTAAAAGTCTTTGCTCCACTGGTCTGAGGCAAAAGTCTAAAAGTTTATCATTTTAATGATGGCACAGACTGCTAGACCCTACCTGAGTAAAGAAACTGAGTAACTCTGTTAACTTCTCAGGGCCTTAGGGTCCTCATTTGTAAAAATAACCACAAACAAAACCCAAAAATGCTGAATGATCATTTCTCCCAGCTCTAAAAAGTTTTATTTCATTTCTTTTGAGAGAAACTGCCTTCTTCTGCTCCAGTAATTTAAAAAAATGTTAATGCTTCTACAAATAGTTATCAAAAAGCTAGGAACTCTAATAGAAATCGATTTCTTCTGGATGACAATCCAAGGCTCTGGAAGGAGCGGTAATAATGAAAGCAGAGGAAAAAAGAAAGGGAAGGGAGAAAATACACATACACACAGGTTTACTTGTTTTGCTTTATATTGTGGACTATTTTGGCAATGGCTTGTTAAAAGTATTTTTCTTTTTAACCCATACTAACCTACCTCATGTAACCTTGCCACCTCCCCTGTCCTTCTGCTCTCCCCACCGTGCCCCCCACCACCTTTCTTAGGTGAAAGAACAAGGTGAGCCATCAGATACCAAATTCACCTACTTCTCAGTTGTGCTGTGTCTAGGAGACTGGTGGTAGAGTTGAGACCGCCTGCAGCCTTGGAAGTGGAGAGTTGCTGTTCCTGAAAGTCCTTCTTCCCACCCGACTGGAATATTTCCACAAAACTGATTAGGTAAATTCCCCTAGCACCCGCTCCTCCTCATCAAAAGTGCTGTTACTCCGGTTACTACAGTGTAAATATCAGACAGTACTCAGCTCAAACTTAATCCCAAAGAAGAGGTCCCCAATCAATTTGCCACTCCCAAAGAACTCTCCAAGGTTCCAGGATGTGGACGTAGGAGACAGGGTTCCTGACGTAGCCTGAGACTAGCAACACCTCAAAAGGAATTCCCATAGTGACCCCACGCCATCAGGTGTGAGGAGGCTGGGCAGGATTCCTCCACAGTATTCACGTTTTAGGGTTTGATCAATACTCTTTAGGGAGGAACAATGGGACCCTACTATGTTAACGACTTGGGAGTTTCCAAACACCTCAGCCACCAGGGGAGATCCGGCCGAAGTTTCCAAAGTGAAATATCTCAACAGACCAACTAGTAAGAATTAATCTTGTATTCATAATAAAAGTAAACTCAAAACCAAATACAAATACAGTAAAATGTATAAAAATATATAAATTCTGCTCTCTCTCGACTCACTCCGATTCCATCACCAGCTTGCTATTTCATATGAAAACGAGACGAATTTCTAATTTTATTTTAAATTTTATTTGTTTGACAGAGAGAGAGAGATCACAAGTAGGCAGAGAGGCAGGCAGAGAGGCAGGCAGAGAGAGAGAGAGGGAAGCAGGCTCCCCGCCGAGCAGAGAGCCCCATGCGGGGCTCGATCCCAGGACCCTGAGATCATGACCTGAGCCGAAGGCAGAGGCTTTAACCCACTGAGCCACCCAGGCGCCCCGCGAATTTCTAATTTTAACAGCGTTTTCCTCCTCTCTAGGTGCCGGTTTTAAAGTAGCAGCAAATTTAAACACCAGAAAATGTACGCCTATATCAAGAACATCACTTGATAACAGTTATCTACATATAAGCAAACAAACAAAATGGTCATCAAATCAATCCCCCCCCCGCTCCCCCGCCAAAAACGTTTCCTTGCCTCCCAGGACATTCGCGGTCACACTTTTCCGAAGAAGAGCGGCAAAACCTCGCTTACTCTTGTTTAGACAGACGCTCCGGGAGAAGCTCGCGCCACAAGTCCCCAGACAGGTTGGCTGACGACAGCCAACTCCTCCTTTAGGCGGTGCAGTTCTCGGAGGAATCAGCTTCGCTCTTGGAACCTCGGTCCCCCGGGCTTCGATAGTTTCCACTCCGGCCCCCATTTCTGCTCTAGCTGCCCCCAGTCCTCGTCCCCGCCCCCAGATCTCACTTCCAAAGCACAGACACCCGCTCTTACCTGCGCTTCCTCGTCTTCCGTCAACACCCCTAACACCCGGATGTGGCGAGGGCTGCTGGACCTGATCTTGCCGTCGGGTTCCTGGACCTCCGCGGTCGCCGCGGCCTCGGGCATCGACATCGCTGCAGCGGCGGAGTGAGGGAGAGGAGGGAGGGTCCTTCGGTCCTACACTGTTTCCTTTAGCTGCAGGACCCAAAGAGGCCCCGCCACCGCAAAGGGAAGGCCGCCTGAGAGCCGCTAGAGGCGCGAAAAGCCCCGGTGGTCCGACAGTGACCCCGGCTACAGCGAAGCGACCCGCATCACCCGGCCGCAGCCCACCTGCAGACCTGGGCTCTAGCGGGCTGGCCGGTTGTTAACAAGCCAGCGCGTTGCTAGGGGCGGGGCCGGGGCTGCAGAAGCGCGGGCTCTTATGGAAGCCGGGAGAGCCAAACTACCCTAAACCCCAATGTGTCTCTACGCTCGCAGTAGCGGTGTTTGCTCGCGTTTGGGAAGGAGGCACGTAGGTACGTAGCAGTGTGCAGCGTTGCCTTGGCGTTATGTGTCTCAGTCTTGCTAGTTTGCGCGGGGCCTTCTTAAATCAGTAATGAGTGGATGGAGAGATGAGGGGTGGATGTCGGACACGAGAGTGTTGGATGCTGGATACAAAGTGTTAGAAGCCGAGCAGTTTATCTTGTCGCAGAGAAGCGACCAGTGTCACCGACGTTCCCTGCCTTTTACCTCTTCTGTACTTTAGTGGCTCTACCAGACAGTTAAATAACGAACAAGACATTGTACCCAGTGTTATAGGCTTTTGAGTCAAATCATGGACTCTAGAGCACCTTAACCCACGGAAACTCCACTTTTCCCCTTCTTTCCTCGTCAGTTTTTCACTTTTCTTAGCAGTAGGATTGTTGTGAGAGGATAGAATGATATGGTAGTTTTATAAAGTCGTGCTTTGCGTATAATAATTACCCAGGTAAAAGGGTCAGGATTATCATTATCTTTATTATTATCATGTTACCTATCCATCGTATCCTGAGTTATGACACAAGGATAGAGATTTTAACGGAAAGCTGCTCATGATAATAATCAACTTAATCACCCCCAAAACTGTGGCTATGAAAACGTATCTTAAAATACTTTAAACCTTTTAATCTTTTTTTTTTAGCCTTCAGAATCTCTCCAAGATTTAAACGTGCGTTTTTATATTGTGTAGAAAGTGTATGGCCTTAAAAATTACATATAACAAACTACGTGAAAATAGGTTTCACTTCACCTCCCAGCATTTCTCTCATTTGTAGAATGAGCTGGTTGATGAGTGATTTCTAAGGTTCCTTAACCATTTCAAACATTTGACATTTGACTGAATGACATTTCTGGGAATACAAATAAAAAGAAACAGAAAGGGGCGCCTGGGTGCCTCAGTCGGTTAAGCCTCTGCGTTTGGCTCAGGTCACGATCCCAGGGTCTTGGGGTGGAGGCCTGCTGTGGGCTCCCTGCTCAGCGGGAAGCCTGCTTCTCCCTCTCATGCCTCCCCTGCTTGTGTTCCCTCTCTCGCTGTCTCTTTCCCTGTCAAATAGATAAATAAAATCTTTAAAAAAAGAAACAGAAAAACTAGATTGGGCATGGCAGCACTTGTAAATCATAGCCAAAGCAACCAACCTTTTTTTGAAAGAATTAAGTGTTTCTAGTAACTGTTTCCTCACTTACCTTCATCATTCCACTTTTCTCATCTCCGGTTCCCTGAAACTGCCCTGAGGTCACCAACACTTGTGGTCATAGTCTGGACACTTTCCTGTCCTCATCTTGCTGTACTTATCTTTAGTATTTTACCCTGTTGACCACTCTTCCCTTCTTCTAATTCCCTTGACTCAAAAAAACATTCTTTTTTTTCTTTTATCTTCACAGCTACTCATTGGTGTTTTTAGAGCTCCTCTCAGACCTTACACCTAGAGGTGGGTTCAGTATGTCTAAGGTTGCTATTACTCCAGGGGAGTGTAAAGGGTGTGTCAAGTGTATTAACATCAGCTAAATTGCTGTTGCACATTCTGAGTATTCCACATCAAAAGGAGACAAGTCACTTGAATAAACACACTGGAATTCTGTGAGAATGGCACCCAAAACCAAGATAGTAGTAGAGAGCTGACAACTGGATGATTTGTTTATCCTTTGTGTGTTGAGCATGGCAACTCAAGAGAAGGAAAGGTGAAGAGGAGGGACTGTGAAGAAAAAATTTCCACTTAAAGCAGAGTTTATCTAGGGGTTATGAACTGACTATTGTGTTTCAGCACAACAGGCGGAATCTGGTAAGGGTCCATAAAACTCAGTGACTGGAAAGTCACACTCTCCTTATTGACTTAGTTGCAGACACTTTCCTGACATATGAACACAAGGATTTTTATTTTACATCAATTGTTTACGAACCTATATATTCATTCTGTCCTATATCCAGAGCACCAGTTTCCAATGCTTAATTAGCATAACTCCCATGAGCTTTCCCTTTCTAGCACTTAAAAACTCTTCTCCTTCTCAGTGAAATTCTTCATAGAAATGGGTTCCCTTACCTGGTAGGTTAAAAGATCCAACTTTTTTTTTTTTTTTAACCTCTAATGGTACTTGGTTTACTCTGAGAGTGAGAAGGGACCAGGTGAGAAGCAACCAGGATGAAAGTCCCAACACTCCACATTCAAGCCGTCTTGACTGAATTATTTGTTGTTTTATGAAACTACCAAGCTTCTTCCTGCCTTACCTCTGGATATGTAGTACATGGGACTGTCTGCAGATGTCTAGCTCATTATGAAACTCAGCTCATGTGACTTTCGGGGGGAACCTTCTTTATATCCTCTGTTAGATGCCACTTTGTCATCGGTTTTGTACTCACCACATAGTGATATTTATTGACTCAGCTGCCCAGCCCCTTGCTACCAGCCACTTTTGAAAGCAAAGAGAATCTTTTATTCACATTTGCACTCCAAACCCTCAACATAGTATCTAGAGTAGTGTTTCTCAAAATTTAGCATGTGTCAGAACCGTCTGGAAAGCTAATTAAAACCAACTCCTGAGCCCCACCTTCAGAGTCAGCTTCAGTTAGTCTGAGTGGGGTCCAAGGTTTCGCATGTGGAACAGGTTGCTCGGTGATGTTATGCTCCTGGTCTGGTGAACAGTACTCAATAAATATTCATTAAATTATAAACTATTTTTTAAATTGGATTTGAAACCAAATTAAAGCATTTCTTAAGCTACCCAGAGTAAGGTAAACATGAGTCCCTGTTCCTCAAGATGGGGTCCTTGAACTACCTACATAAGCATTACCTAGGTGTAATGCAGGAGTTCTGGCCCCAGGAGGGACCCAGTGACGCAGAATCTCCATTTAAACTAGATTGCCAGGTGACTAGTATGCACATTAAAATTGAGAAGCATTGGTCTAGTGTGTGTGTGTGTGTGTGTGTGTGTGTGTTTTCATTAGTATTATTTTGGAGTAGTTTTCTTTTTTTAAGATTTTATTTATCTATTTGACAGACAGAGGATGAGTGGGGATTTAGAGGGAGAGGGAGAAGCAGACTCCCTGCTGAGCAGGGAGCCCTTCATGGGGCTCAGTCCCAGGACCCCGAGATCATGACCCAAGCCAAAGGCAGACGCCCAATGACTAAGACACACAGGTGCTCCTATTTTGGAGTAGTTTTAACAATCTCCATAAAACTGCCTTTCACAGAATATTCCATCTGTGTATTTTCCATGTCCTTTGTTTTCTTACTGATGATGATATTGGGTGTATTTGTTTTTCTTTTTGTTAAGTGTACCAATTAAGCTTTTAAAAAGCTTTAAGTGGGGGCACCTGGGCGGCTCAGTTGGTTAAGTGACTCTTGGTTTCACCTCACGTCATGATCTTGTGGTTGTGGGATCAAGACCCACATCAGGCTTTGTGCTACTGGGGAATCTGCTTCAGATTTTCTGTCCCTCTTCCTTTCCTGCCCTTCTCTCTCTCCCTCTCTCAGATTCTCTCTTCCTTTTTCTTTCCCTCCCTCCCTCCCCCTCTCTCTCTTTCTCAAATGAATAAAGTATTTTTTAAAAAAGTCTTAAGTATTTAAATTAGGTAGTGAATTTAAGTTTAATCATTATTCATGGAACCTTCTTTAATACAGATTTCTGAAGGCTGTAAGTCAAGGGCACAGGACATTTTCCAGACACCAGAACACAAAAGGATGTAAAGGTAAAATGACTAACTATTGAAATGGTAAAAAGATAATAGTAAACAAACATATGAGAAGTAATAGAAATGCTTCATTCTGTAGCAGTTTTGCAGAATTTAACATCTCTGTTAAGGTTACAAATTGCAATCTCTTTAAAGCAGTAGATTAAATGTTTTAATGATATATTGAGCTATGTACATTTTCTATTTTTTATTTTACTGAAATTCAGTTAGCCAACATATAGTACATCGTGAGTTCCAGATTTTTTACTTTTAAAATAAGTGTATTTTTAACATAAATAAATGTAATATTAAGAAATAACACTGTTCTTCTGATATTTTTTCTGATGCTTGTTTGCACACTGCCTAATTAGCAATGTTTAGTAAAATTATAATTATGCATTAGTACAACTTAAGAATGTTTCTATTAAGTATTTTAGATTACATATGAATTTGGTTGTCTCTAAACTAATGCCAGATGTTCCAAATGTTCAAGCAAATGTTATTTCTTTGTGAGTCAGTGTAATCTATTTTAAACAGAGAATTTTTATAGCACATAAAAAATGTAATTAGAGTATAGTGTTAGTAGGTTAGCTTCAGGGGAATTATGTAACAGAAAGAAAATATATAAAGCTGGAATTTCATCTACTTTAGTATTTAAAAAAATCTTACAGGTTGATTGTTACAGAAACAAAGCCTAAGAGAGAAACAAAAGTAATTACTTTTTTCCAACAGAACCATTAGTTCAAATTTAGCAGTAAGAAATACATGGAACAGAAAACAAAGGTGAAAGAATAGCCACCTCTGAAGTCAATGATTTCTAATTAAAAAATGTGTTCATATTCCAAATTGCAAATGATTTTAAAATAGGAATGTGGAGGAGCTGTTCATGCTTAATGGAGAAACTAAATCAATGGTAATATGTAAATGAATTTATGGAGCAATTTTTACCTGATCAAAGCTTCAGTCCCATGACATAGGAATAGTCTATGAAATGCAAATGCTCTCAAGCTTTTAAAACTAAAAATTACTGGGGCACCTGGGTGGCTCAGTGGGTTAAGCTGCTGCCTTCAGCTCAGGTCATGATCTCGGAGTCCTGGGATCGAACCCCGCATCGGGCTCTCTGCTCAGCGGGGAGCCTGCTTCCTCCTCTCTCTGCCTGCCTCTCTGCCTGCTTGTGATCTCTCTGTCAAATAAATAAATAAATAAAATCTTAAAAAAAAAAAAAAAAAGAAAAAAAAAAAACTAAAAATACTGTATTTACATGTTGGGAGGTTATAGGTAGTACCCCCAGGATAGAACCATCTTTATGGTGGAACAGGATTAACCAGACAAGTTTATTACAATGACATTAATTATTCAAGGTCTCTAACAGACTTGACTTGCTCTGATTCCATAGGCTCTACATTAATTTGCTAGGGCTGCCAAAATAAATACCACAGACTAAGTGGCTTACACAATAGAAATTTTATTTCCTCACAATCTGGAGGCTAGAAGTCCATGATTAAGGTTTCCAAGATTTGTTTCATTCTTGAGGCTTCTCTTCTTGCCTTGTAGATGGCCATTTTCTCCTTTTGTCATAATATGGTCTTCCCTCTGTGTCTTCATCTCCTCTTCTTTTAAGGACACCAGTCATCCTTGGATTAGGGTCCACTCATACCCACATTTTAACTTCATTATATCTTTAAAGGCCCTTTACATTAATATGAATTTTAGGGAGCTATAATTCAGTCCATAACAGATCCTAACATACTTTGGGTTATACTATAAATTCTTATAAAGAACAAATTAAACAACAGAATTTGCGTAGTTAAGGCAATACTGGTATTCTTACCTATAGGACATTGATGATTTCTCATAGCAGTGATCAATGGCTATTCTGACTTAACAATCACTGTACATTTGATCAATGTGAATCTGCCCTTGGGAGATGGATCCACTCTGAGCTCTTAAGCGGTTTGAATTTTGAGCCTCCAGGGCCTGACTTTGTCAAAATCATCATTTATGTCATGTTTCATTTTCTAATTGAAGAATCCACTACCAACATTCATTTGCCAGCCTCGTTTCCCTACCGCCTACCATAAACAAATGACAAACATTTACCTGCTGCCACTTTATTGGGTGGCATTCTCTCTAGCTGGTCAGGAGGAGATAGAAGTTGAGGCAGGAAAATATAGGTGTTACTAAGCTGGTGATAGCTTTAGAACCAATGCAGTTTAACTAACTGCTTAGGCTTTTATGATATTTTCGTGGAGGCCTTAAGAATTGCTGCACTAAGGAATAACTTATCTGGGGAAAAAGAAGGGAGAATTTATCCACAAGCTCCCTCTTGGGCTATATCTCTTTGGTCAAAGATCAGGTTGCTGGATTTAGCAAAAACAAACAAAGTCCCATGCAATATTTGTAATAGAATTACTTAAAAAATTCATTGTTTGTCTGCATTTCAAATTAACCAAGTGTCCTGTAGTTTACTTGGCAACCCTACTCTCAGAACATTAACAACTATGGGTTTCCTGGCAGCTATGGGGGAAGCCAGGGCTTCCCCAGATCCCAGGCACCAATGTCAGTTTCTCCTTAAGATGGTGTGGCGACGGTGGTGATGGTGGCCAGGAGGTAAGGCAAGAGGTAGAGACAATGATGGAGGGGGGTGTGTGGGCAGGAGGATGCAGGCACAACTGCATGAATGTAGGGTGATAAAGAACAGAATTTTCTCTAAAGATGAGTCAATATTCATTATCTCATTAGTATCTGTAGAACTATACTGCATTAGACACTGGGAATACATTAGCTATCAGGGAGCTTACAAAACATAGCTTGACTATTATGTTGAGCCCTGGTTTAAAGATGCTTAATGAATGCTAGTAAAATGAAATCAAATTTTTTAAAGGTATTATTTTTAAGTAATCTCTGCAACCAATGTGGGGTCAAGCTCACAATCCCAAGATCAAGAGTTGCATGTTCCACGGACTAACCAGTCAGGGTCCCCTGAAATAATTTTTCAAATACCACCTCATTAGATGGATATTTTCCTAAATGACTACCTTTGCAAAAACAAACAAAACCTCCAAAACCCCCAACCTATTATATGTATTGCTTTCTAGATCCTTCTATAGAGAAATAGATGGTCTCCATCAAATACTGGAATTATTATTCAGTAAGAAAGAAAAATCCATTTGTAAATAACATTTCAAAAAAAAGTTAAAACACATTAAATAATATTTTTTATTTAGATGTTCATAAGGCATATCTATGAGATTGATCTAAAAACATGGCATGTAATTTGATAGCAATATTTTGGAGATTACAGAGTTTCAGCAAATACCTATTACACAGTTATAAAGAAGATGATATTTTGCAAGCAGATACAAAATATCTAATGAAAGATCAAGGCAAGAAAATGAGTATAATTAATCAACAATGGAAAGTCAATTTTAACATGAATTGCACATTATCCTTTAAAAACTTTTAAAGGTAAGATTTACTGCAATCTAGTTCATTCAAAGTGTTAAACAGTATCATGACAAGGAACCGAAGGCCAGAATGGATTAGTTTTGATTTCATACAAAGAAACCCAAATATACAGTGGGTCAAATATAGGAAAGGGAGTTGAATAGTGAAGGAGTCAAGATCTTTCTAGTTTCTAACTGGCGTTCCTTAGGGTGTGGCCTCGATCCTCTAGGGCATTTGCCAGGCCTCCTGTTGTCGCCACAGTTCTGGCAGCAAAATGGAGGAATATGACGGAAAGCACTTGCTGCTTTTCTTTGAAGAGATTTCTAGGAAGCCACCCCTACGTCCCCCTCCAACTCACTGGCCAACACTCAGTCCCATTGGGATACCTAACTACCAGGGCAGCGGAGTAATGTGATGGGCAGCAGCTTTTAAAGAAGTAGCGTGGACACTGGGAGACAACATCCAGTCCCGGTGCAGGCTGGATATCTGCAAAGCCATGAAAGACCTTCAAGGAAAACCTTCAGAGGATACTTCCTTGAAGTTGGCAATTTAAAAATCAAACGAAAGCACCTGTTTTGGTGATTTAATTTAGTCTATCCAGCTACCGGGAGAATCCTATATGTATAGTCTGCCCTAATTTCGGATGACTGCATGAAAGCCAATGATTTGGAAAGTTAAAAGAAATCTCAGTATGTATGCATGTTAGGCTGAACTAAATACTGTTTTGGTATTCTATGGACAGAATCTCTGAATATTAGCACTTTATAACTTTCTTGCATTAAAAAAATTGAAGAACCCATTCATTCCTGTAAAAGCCCCTGTGCAAAGGTAAGAACAACTGTGTTTCCACTAAAAGCAGTACAGGTTCATTTAGAGCAATTACATATACTGAATATTTACCAGAATTTGTTTTGCTGACTTAATGAACAATTGAGGGTAGAGCATCTCATTTTCATGACAACACATCACAAGTAGAAATCTTAACACTGAATTGAGACATGTGTAGCAATGCTTTTAAGTCAGAATTCACAAAATAATTTCAACACCAAATTTTAGGCTGTTTGAATACTTACATCAAAACAGAGATTCTATAGACTGACACAGGTTCAATGTTCATAGTATTACTAAAGAAATAGTTATGAGTTACATTTTGGGAATTTTATTTAAAATATCATATAAGAAAACACCTTTCACAAATAAAACTCTATTGGGGGGCAAAACTCTTTGTTCAGAATTTATTATGACATAGTTTAATGGTAAAAGGCAGTTAAAAAGAATTAAAATTTTATCATTTTATGTAAGAGATAAACAATACAAAAATCAGATATGATATATTCTTGAAGCCCTTTTACACAAATAAATTTCATAATTTGTAAGTATGAATATACCTTAAATTACTAACAAATTAATTTTGAAAGTAAAATTCCTTAAGTCAAGATTAGGCTAATTTATAAGAAATTAATCAGGTAGTTTGATACTGGAGCTCACTAGCCAATCCTGTATGTAGCACAAAATAATTATCTCCAATAAATGCCTATAAATATAGTTTCTTCATACTTTAAAATATTTTAAAATTTAAATAAAAATCTCTACATGTAGACAATCTGGGCTAAATTTCCATATATGCTTTGAAAAATATATGTCAGCATGAATATAATCTTATTTAAACATGATTTTAAATATTCTTAATAAAGGAGACATATGAAATCTGCACACAAAAGCTAAATAGTACGATTCAGCCCATGATGATTTTCCTCTCAGGAAAAAAATTACTTAAGTTTTTTTGCATAGGATTAAGACTGGGTATATTTTCTACATTCTTATGATTTTCTCAGGGGCACTTCTCAAAGTACACATTAGGAAACAAACCCTACTACTTTAAAGTCCCCACCACTTTCTCACACCTAGCAAGAGCAGAATTCAGTCCTACTTCTGAGGCCAGAAAAATGACAAAAAAAAGTGATTATGAGAAATAATGACTAAGAAAAATAATCTGGTAGAAAATGGTAAAATAAGGCAATTAAAAGTCAAATAAATAAAAGTCAATATTTCTGTACTCTTAGATAGGCTTTTAAACATTTAGAATTTAATGAATTTATTACATTTATTCTAGAACTTCAAAATTATTTCATCTTTGTAGTACTAAAAAGGCGATATTATCATTTGAAACAAAAGTTACATCCTATATACATTTTCATAAATTTTGTTTTTTCACATTTTCAAAGGCCCCATTTATCTGTAGAGGTGATAATGTTATTTGTATTATTGGCTACTTAATATACACCTGCAGCAATATAATTCAAGAGTCATCTAACTTTAATGGATATTTCATTGTATTTTCACATTAAATGGTGAAAGCCTGATCTTGAGAGAGTGAAACTTGAGGAAGAAATACTGAAAATATGCTGTTAATTTCAGTAGTGCGCTACAACAGTTTATGGGTCTTTTCCTTTAAAAGTTCTCACCCAACTGAATTCCTACTATGGACTAGCAAGTAAGCGATTATCAAGAGGGAAAGAACAGAATTAAAATAAAGAAAATGGAGAGCTCAGTTAAGAAGTACAAGATACTTAAACTCACCAAGAAGAGACCGCCAGAGAATCATGAGAGATTTACCAAATTGACAAGGTGCAGCAGTAGGGAAAGAGCCAGTGGTGGGAAAGGTAGTGTCTACTAAATAAAACTCCTTCTAGGGGAGCCTGGGTGGCTTAGTTGGTTAAGCGTCTGACCCTTGATCTTGGTTCAGGTCATGATCAGGTTCGTGAGATCAAGCCCTGCACTGGGCCCCTGGGCATGTAGGCTGATTAAGATTCTCTCTCTCCCTTTCCCTCTGGTCTACCCACCCTACAAAATTCCTTCTGTTTTGGCAGCTGCATCCAGTAGTACCTCAGTGGGTAGGTTTAGAAATGTTATAATTTCAGGATATATACTTACATAATGCATATACTTGTATCTTATCTGCACCTTTCTAGTTTAATAAGGAAAGAACAAATGGGGAAAAAATGTCGGGCATTCTAATCAAGGTTTGAACAAAATGCAATTTTAATGTGCAATGTCAGCACTGAAAAATTTTATGAATAATTTATATAACTGTATGTCTCTAGAGTAGATTTATAATTAACCACTTTTCTTAATATCCTTCATGCTTGCAAACTGCTCCCTAATGAATGGTTGAACAGGCAGGAGGACTTCTCAGGAAGAGTAAAAGAAATGACCAACTCTACAAGGATTTTTAAAGATTCTGGAGGACCTCAGACATTCATTAAAACTGCTATGGTCCTATCTCTGCCAGAGGCCCTCACTGTGTAGGGAATCGTATGGATTGCCATGGGGCTCCAGGGTCACGTCCCAGGCAAGATCCTCTTGCAAGGTAAAGAACTGTAGATTATCTCAAAGCAATCATAAATTTATGACTATTATTTTCATAAATTTTTGGTACCCATAGCACACTGTAAAGAATGTTAATGCCTCTACTGACAAAAGAGGAAGCATCCAGACTGGCATCATGATGGTAACACACGGGGACAGAGCAGAGACAATCAGCCTGGAGATGGGAGCCTCTGAAATAGGACTGCCTAGACTTGAATGCTGGCTCTGCTTCTTAACTAACTGCATGACGTTGGGCAAATTACTTTTTTTATCCTTCAGTTTTCTCATATGAAAAATGAGGATAATTACCTCTGTTACAGGGTTGTTGTAAAAATTAACATGGGATAATACAAATAAAATGCTTAGAACAGTGCCTGGCATGTTAACATCCCTCAGTGAACGTCAGTAAAATCTTACAGCAGATAGAGTGGGACTGGCCAGCGTGCAACAACGTAGATCAGCTGACCAACAACTATTGGTGGGTAGACTTCATTCCTTCCCTCTAACTGGAAACAACTGTAAGATTCCTAGGCTTGGTACCATATTACAAAAATCACTTTTGGAAGCCAAATACCATGGTCTTCTCCCTAACCAACCTAATAACATGCAAATGAAACCTCTCTGTAACAAGATGAGGAATAAAATCTTTCATGAGGTACATATTATCAGTATGCATTTCACATCTCCATTGCATTTCAAATATAATTTCAGATTCTATTTTTTTAAATTTGTGTTTGTTCACAGGTTACACTGGTTCATATAATTAATTACATTCTTCAAAACTGATTTTATGAGAAAAATATAGGAATGTTACCATTTACCCTTACTGAGATGCTAATGTAATGTGACCCTTCTTAAAGTTAATATGTGATTATGCATTTCTATTTCTTTAGCAATTAAATTAATTTAACAATTAAAACCTTAGGTAAGCTTCAGAAAAAAAAATATCCATTAAGTTATATTAAAACTTAAGATTCTGCTGGTTTGCAAGTTTTTTCTTTTAACATTATGTTGTATCTATATTATTAATCAGAAATATCTTTGCCTGATTATGGAATACAGTTTGTTAAAATAGGAGTGTTATGGATGTGCAAAACAAAATAGACAAGTTGACAACAAAAATTCATATTGCCAAAATATGACATCTGTGAAAATTAATTTCAAGAAACTCCTACCACTAATTTGGTTGAGATCTTACTGGATAGATTTCAGCCCACATCAATTTGACAGTGCACTTGCAAATGAGCAAAAGGAAGTCATAAAAACAATGGCACGAGTGGAACTCTATAATTTATCAGTGAGCACCATTTATCATCACATTACTGTAACCCTCTCTGGTGAGAGATGAGGAACTGCTCCTCCAATACCTTCTTCTAGAAATTGGCTCTTTTCCCAACCTTTTTTAATTCTCTTAAGCTTTCGGCTTATACATGGAAGGAGTAAAATAATCTTACCCAGAATTACAATTGAGGGCAAAACAAGAGCAAGAACGAAGTTGGGTGGGGTGTAAAACCGGTAGTATTCTTCTTCAAAGGCTCGTTTCCATCCATAAATTAAAACATGGAAAGTACTTATGAGCAGAGCGACATATCCAAGGGTAGACTTGGGTAGAGGAAGAAGAAAAAGAAACAGAATAAGGAACAAATTATTCAAACTCATAAATTAACCTATCCAGCGCCACCGTATTTATAGTGTGCTAAAACTATATCTTAAATTAGTGAGCTACTCTTTGTTCTCTACTGACTTAAATAATTATAATATTTCCACAGATTCCATATATATTTATTCATGTGTTTGCACATCTTGTCTTATACAAATAAAGCCATATTGCATATAGTCTAATACTCTATTTTATTATAGCAAGAATCTTTTCCTCATCATTAAATACAAAAACATGACTCAAATGCTATATAATAACCTACTGAAAGGATGTGTTATATAGTTCATTTAGTCAATCCTTTTTGTTGATCATTTACTCTGTTTCCAACTTTCCTCCACCATAAGCCCTTTTCTCTATTTTGGTTTATTTCTTTAGAACTTCCTTCTTTCTTTCTTTCTTTCTTTCTTTCTTTCTTTCTTTCTTTCTTTCTTTTTTTAAGATTTTATTTATTTATTTGACAGAGCTCACAAGTAGGCAGAGAGGCAGGCAGAGAGAGAGAGAGAGGAAGAAGCAGGCTCCCTGCTGAGCAGAGAGCCTGACGTGGGGCTCAATCCCAGGACCCCGGGATCACGACCTGAGCCAAAGGCAGAGGCCTTAACCGACTGAACCACCCAGGCGCCCCTAGAACTTATTTCTAAAAGGGGGATTACTGGGTTTTCCTTATAGGTACTGATGAAAACTGTAAAACTTCTTTACAAAGGTTATCCACATTTCCACCAGTTGTGGATATTTAAAAATATGTGTATGTGTGTGTATATTATATATACATACAAATATACATATATAATAAAAATTAAGTGCTGAAGAGCATTCTCCTCCCCCACATCCTTCCCCACATATATATATTAGCTGAGGGTAAACATGAAAAATCTTATACTGTTAGTATGTAATAGGAATAGCATTTCAAACATGCGGCTTTATTGACCACATGAAATTAATAATTGAAATTATTAAGAGTACTTTCGTTAAGCGGGTCATAGGTGAAAATCTAAAAGGTCAGCATTCAGGGCTCCCTAAATTATTACGCTTGATTGCTTACTTTGAGAAATGGTCTCTGTAATATCACATCAGTCTAATGATGTAATGTCTAACTTCACTGGGAAAGGATCGACCCTCCAGCAGACAGTTGTTCTGTTTTGCAGCCACTCATCTCAGTTTAATGATCACTTGCCCCCATCTAACACCTTTTCTCAGAGGGCCTTCTGTCTCTTTTCAAGTGTTAAGCTGACAGTTGGAAAAGTGTTTGAAGGAAAAATGAATTTAGACAGGGAGATGCCCTTAACTTGAATGAGCTCTTTAGATGACTTGAAAGAAAAAAAAAAAAAAAAAGCTTAAGTAAATAGGCACACACAAAACAAAACAGAATTGTGTGTACTGCGAAATGCCAGTCACCCACATATTTTGCTACAGATCATTTGGATACAAAAAATACTGACTTTTTGATAATATAGGTGGGGTCTGGGTTTGAGTTACACATTTTACAAATATGTATATTTATTAAATAAATCTTACTGGAGGAGGTGAATGTTTATTAAAGAACACAGTGCTGTTTTGAAACACCTTTGTATATACTCATAGACACATATATACAACTAATATGCAAAATACATATATGAACAAGATTCATAAGGCTGGTTGCTTGTCATAATCCATTAGCCCAGTCACCTAATTTGCCACTGTTTGTGTCTGTGTGTTTACACACACATTTCTTTTACAATATTCAGACTGACCTCCCCACTTGAATTCAAATTAATGAGATTTTTCTAGATGGATCAAAGTGACTCAAAATATAAAGTAATTCTTTACTCACTGGTCAAGTAACAAATTGACTTTTGGCACTGAACTTGATCTAAGCTTACCCATCCCCACCTTCATTTAAAAAAAAAAAATTTTTTTTTTTTTAATGAACTTTAGTCATAACATAGTAGGCAGTGCTATCAAAGTCTTCTAATAGAACCCTGTACTGGCTTTTGCTTACTAAACCAGAATCGTCCTAGGCTGGCTTCCAACAATTTTCACTCCCTGAGCTAGATGCATAAATGCAGCCCCAAAGGCACTCTTTTATAAGAAGCATATTTAAAATTAAACTGTACCTAACACTTAAATTCTATGCTGCCCAACCTCTCACCAAAAAAACCCACGTACCTGAATAAAACTGAATTCCCTCCAGTTTAAAGCATTGCTCACTGACGGGATAGAGGTGACTGCCAGAAGGGACAGTAAGCCAAGGCTCATTATGCCAAAGGAGATATACATTTCAATTCTCCAGACTTCTTCCTCGTTCCAAGAGTTTTCAATATTTGCATGAACCTAAGGAGAGCAAATGTGAATTTCCTTTATTTGGCAGAATAGTCACAGATTCAGTACAGTTTCACTCTTGGCATAAGAATACCTCATATATGGACATATTTAAGCTGTACTTTTTCAATTTAACAGCCTGGAATGGAGAACCTATTACCGGATGGTATTGTGCCAGGTGTGGGGAAAAGAGAAGGGAGAGTTAAATAGAAGGAGGTCTAAGAGTCTCTCTTTCCTTACATACATGCGAGGGGGTGGGAAAATCTGCCACCTACGCTGTCCTACATCACAGTTACAGGGAGTCTGGAGTCCCAAGACCAGGAATGCCAAGTGGTTGGTTCCAAGGTGACAAAAAGAAATAAGTACTGGCAGTTAGACTTAGTTTTGAGGTACTTTTCTAAGTTGGTTTAAACTCAGTTGAATATTTTGGGTACATTCTGGCTTTAGATCAACTTAGAATCCAGGAAGAAAATTTCTAAATTACGTCTTTATCTTCCTCTCTCACTTGAACAATATTTGTATGTACTTTACCTCTTTTTTTCCTTCTTTCTTTTCCTCAGGAAGCTGAGATTTCCCTATGGATAAAGTCATACTGAATGCAAATATTTATTCTCTTGAATTGGCTCATTGATAAATTTTTCCAAATGTCCAATTGCCTCATTCCTCTATAGTACTTTTCCAAATGTCTTTTCCTTACACTGATAATACATATATAATCAAGTCAGACTTGATAACTCCGAATGTGTGGCATTCTGCATAGAGACTGCTTTCAGAATTGTCTATTTACATGTGATGGTATAATTAGAGTATAAATCAAAGGTTGGACTCCCTGGGCTAAAGCTTTATTTATTTTTTAAAAATATTTTATTTATTTATCCATGAGAGACAGAGAGAGAGAGAGAGAGGCAGAGGCAGAGGGAGAAGAAGGCTCCCCATGGAGTAGGGAACCTGATGTGGGACTTGATCCCAGAACCCTGGGATCATGACCTGAGCTGAAGGCAGATGCTTAACTGACTTAGCCACCCAAGTGTCCCTAAAGCTTTAAGTATCTATTCATGCATAACAGATTCTAACTTAACAAAGTTTCACTCTGTCCAGTTGTAATTAACCAAACAAATGAAATTTTTTTTAAAAAGCTAGTTCTGAGCATTAGGCCCCCAGAACAATCATACCAACATCCTGAAAAAAGCCATAGAGCTCCTCTGTGAAAAAAAGGCTCTTATTATCTTGTTTTATGTCTATACCACAATACAGAACAGCAACATACCTCAGTAGACCCAGAGCTTCCAACCTGCACCTATCTGGCCTCCCAATTCATTCATTCATCCCACAAATACACTTTGTGAGTGCCTTACTGTGTGCCAGGCATAGTTCTAGGCATTAGGCATCTATCAGTGAACAAAGCAGACAAAGGTCCCTCCTCTCATGAACTTACATTCTGCTGAGAGGACACAGACAGTAAAGACAATAAACAAGGGGAACATGTGTATTAGGAGGTGGTAAATGCTATTGAAAAAAGTGACAGTAGAGCAGAGTAGGAGGGTGAGGGGGGTGGGGGGGGTGTGGGGTTGAGGCAGATGCAGGTGTCAGAATTTAAAATGGTGTTCAGGCTCCCCCCTCTGTGAAGAGGTGAGCTCTACACCAACAACTTCAGGAACAGTGAGGGAGCTGGTGGGGCAGATATCAAAGCCTAAGGATTCAGTTCAGAGAAGAGGTGTTTTTAAAGACATAATGGCTTAAAGAATATCAATTTACTAATTTTTTTTCACATTATTTTAGGTTGAAACTGTTGAAACAGGCATAAGTACCAAGTGCTGCACACTTGGATCAGGGTGCCTTGGTTCCTTATGAAATGCAAAGCTCCCATTTGTTTGGGTGCAGTGTCCTCGGCTATCCCTGGTAAATGCTATGTCAAGTAGCATCAGTGAAACCCCTTATATTACATTTGCTGAATGTGCATTACTGAGGAAAATTTCCCTCCACTCCACCACCAAATGCCTTGCATGAAGCTTTCTGGGAGATTTTCTTACAGATCTAAGTGCTACAAAGGTTCACGTGAGGACCTAAAGCTTCACTGGAGTATTTTCTTTCCTCTTTTTGATAACAAAAGCCTTGTAAATGTACGTCTCCTCATCTTGGCTTCCTATCCTGTTTTGTATTTTCAGTGGTTCTAATTTTGTCGCATATGTTTACTGAGAGTTGCCTTATCATTTCACAGAACATGGCCAAATTAAACATTGAAATACCTTTTTAATGCTAAAAGCAATCACTGCAGTCATAACATTAAAAAAAGAGAGAGACTAAAAAAACCTACTAACCCTTTATTTCTGTTGTTCTTCTTTAAAGGAAGATGTATAGTACCAGCTTTTATCCTAAATGATTTTGAATCAGCCACACAATTCTTAGACAGAAACACTGTATAAAGAACAATTCTTCCCTCTCCCTAAATATGCCAAAATTTCGATTACAAGGTCTGTAAAATTTGACAGTATTTTAAATCTCACATTTTACAGATTATACTGATAAGGAAGTTTACTAGTATCCGGTGAGTTCCATACCTGCTGATAAGCCATGTTGAGAAACAAGTATCTCTCTGACCTTCTCATTGGTAAGCAGAGGCTGTAGGCAACATGGACTGAAGCGAAGAAAAAGCTTAGTAACCCAAGCTGTTTTCTGCACTGTAGCCAGGTCTCCAACCAAGGCGGAAATTTCCTATACTTGGTGCCGTAATAAAGCTGATAAGCAGCTGCCAGGAGACCTGCCAGGTATACCAGGGACAGCAAAGTAATGGCAACTATGGGCAAGGTCTTATTCACAATCTCGATAGGAATCTTATAAAAATCACTCTGCTGGTTTCTAGCGTATGGATGTATCACATCTCTGACAAAGGAATAAAGAAAGAAAAACGTGGCTAGGCTTATGGCAACCACCACTGGCCCTCTCCAGAGAGTAAAGAGTCGCAGGGGTAAATTTTCAATCTCCCTAGCTGATGATAATGATCCCAAGTCAACAGGAATGAAATTCAGCTGACGGGCAAGTTCAATAACCTGTTGTCGAGCTTGAATGTTGTTGCTGCATATATAGACCTGTGGCAAAAACGAAAGACTCATCGTTACTGTTGTTTATAAAAATAGTGATGTTTACAAACTTCACTTCCCCTATGGAGCATGTGATGAGCTTGAGTGATACAAAAAGTTAAGGAGATAAAGCATTTATTAACATGTTAATCTTTTTATTAATAGGTTAAAGCAGTGTCATAGAAATGACAAAGACCTTGCTACCTATGATGACATGAAAATAAAATGCAGAAAAATCCTGCTGGAACCTGGGATCAGGACGTCCTCAGGGGAAGGAAGGAGGAGTAAGGAAAGGTTTCTAGAATGTGTGGTTCAGCAGCAGTGGCAAGGTAAGGTCTAGATGGAGTTTGGGCTGCTGGCCATCCACTGCCCACCCCAGCTCTCACTCCCACAGGGACAGGAGTGCACTTGGCTCCCTGGGGTTCTGAGGTCAATATCTAGTTCTAGGATCTCAGTGATTGTCTCATAGAGGCATTACAAGCACTGTCCTTTATAGACATTCAGCAAGAGAGTAGATGGGCATAGACTCTGGATGGTTGAATCTACAAATAAAAATCTCTAACTTATGTCACGATGTTGTACTATTTATAAGATTTATCTTTGGCTTAAAAACTGATCCACCAAGGGTCTCTGAGAAACCATGAGTAATCTCAAGTTATTATTATATCACTTCATGAATCAGAATATGAAATTCTTTCATCTGTAAATAAGGATACTATACCTGTGTGGAGGAAAAATGGTATTATAAAGCTTGGTTAATTTAAATGGTAAAGCAACCGCCATTATCTAAGACTAAGGTATTACTTCTGTATAATGAAGTGATGGGTGAGGGTAACTTTCAAAACTACCCAGACCTCTTTGATATATTATTGTAGCTGGGAATTCAGCAAATACCCGTTGAACAGAAATTCACTGCTGAAGTGAGCCACTATTACTCTCACTCAGGCCTAGAAAAATATTGTCAAGTCTCTGGGTAATGTTTGGGGAAAACAAAGTCCTAAATATATCCCTGAAGATGTTTATATAAGGTCTCTGGAATAGACCACACTGAAATATTTGCATGCTAAAACCTGCATTATGCTGACAATATAGAGCTCTTTGGGTTATTAATCTTACCTAACGTTAGCCAGATGAATAACAAAGTCTATATTGTGACACAAGTGTTCGTGAACTTCTAAAATGGAGTGGGAAGAATACCTACATTCTAAAGAAATAAAGAAAAGCATTCTAAATTAATTTATTACAGCTGTGACAATGCTGAGCTTTTATTAAATTTCTTATTAAAAAAACACTGTAATAAAATTTAACTATAAATATAGCCTATAAACTATAAGATTTATTTAAACTTAAATACATTTAAAATACATTTAATTTATAAACCTAAAAGTGTAAATCAAACATTAGTCACAAAGGCAGAAAGACTATGGAATACAAATGAAACTATTTCTGTAGCTCACTTTGAATTCAAGTCCATATTTTTTGTAGTTGTTAAAGAATTAAAATTACCACAATTATGGGCAAAGGATTAAATTTAGGTTTCTCCCTAGTTTGTTTGGTGTGTATCCATTCCTAAACTTTGATGGATATCCAAAAGGAAAAAGGATTTAGAAATAGCCTCTGGGAAAGCTGGGAAGTATATAATCGTTTACTGGTCTTCCAAATTAAAGACTCGAAAGTGAATGGTTATCATGACCTGATACGCCATGTATAGTGATACAATACTTGAATTCATTTTCTAAGGCATTGAATATAGCATGAACTGTCTTTATGAACAAAAATAATGAAAGTATCTTATCATCATCTTACCTATAATGCATAACTACACCTCTGAAAAATTTCTAACATGCAGTATTTCATGTATTTACTTATAAAAGCTCCCGTTCCATAAAGGCATTGATGGAGCTCCCCATCTGCTTTATTTTCAAGTTGAACTAGATAGAACCCATACACTAAAAAAGAAACTAAGAAATCCAATCTGCCTCCCCACACAGATTAAAATCTACACCTTAAATAAAACAAACGGCACTATTTTAAATTCTACGAGTAATCTTCATAAAATAAAAAGGCACTTCTACAGCCTTCTTCTTGAGGATCATACTAAGTAGTTGTGTCATACACAGATGGAACACTGTTAGCAGACAGCTGCCAGGAAGAAGGAGGAGGAGGGGGAGGTGAGTTGGGGAGATAGAGAGAGGTAGAAAAAAGATGTGTTTGTTATTGTTTCAAGTTTTGAGGAAGCCAGGAGAGATTCAACACAGTGGGTCCCATTATTCGTCAGCCAACTTTGCCCTTTCCGGAATTAGCTGGTTATGACAGGAAAGTCCAAGTAATTTTCTCAGCCTTCCACCTTATTTTTTTAGGGTAGAAATGTACCTTTACAAGGTCAGGACATGAATTTTCAGGGGCTCAAACATGGTTTTCAAAACGAGAATCAGTGGAGAGTATGAGAATTTGGCTTTTAAATGTATGACATTTGTGTTACTACTTAAATACAAGATACCAGATAAATACCAATAAAACGGGATTGAGAAGTACAAACTTCCAGTTATGAAATAAGTCAGTCATGGAAATGAAAAGTACGGCATAGGGAATGTAGGCAATAGTATTGTAGTGATATTGTGTGGTGACAGATGGTGATTGCCCTTCTCGTGGTGAGTCCCGAGTGATGTACAGAATTGTCGAATCATGATCTTACATACCTGAAACTAATAGAACACTGTATGTCAACTCTACTTCAGTTATTTAAAAAAAAAGAAATTAAAATTAAAAAAATTAAAAATAAAATACATACCTGCCGGCTGGCATCCTTGGGTCCTAACTGAAGTGCCCAAGCCGAGACAACATTAAAGCCTTTGACAATCAGGGAATCCGGGAATAATGAAGCCAAATATTCAGCATTGGATTCTGGGTATTGGTTTATCCTCATGTTATTGCTCACATCAATCAGGATTTTACCCACAAGCAGATGTCTGAGGTCCCAAAGGGAGGTGTAATGTTCTCTATGTATAGCAACAAATATTATATTTGTTTTTGTGAGAGCATCTTCGTGATGAGTGACATCTACCACATGAGGGAAGAATTCGGAAGCAAACTTGGGATTTCTGCTTCCTATAACTACATGATAGCCACACCTAATAAGTCGAATCGTCAGCGATTTGGCAAAATCCCCACTTCCAATTACACCCACAGTGACCTTCCTTGCATCTTTGATACCATTTATGCCATTCGGCAAAAAAGTTTCGCTAAGGTTCTTAGGGCTTCCCATCATAGAGATCGATTCCATGATACAGGCTCTTTCAAGATCTCCAGAGATATCCTAGGGGAGAGAAAATAAAATCCTCATCAATTACCGATTACCAATCATTCATCCTCTTCTAGACATCATAATAATACCCCTCATTTCTGAGGTAAAATATTTTGGCAAGCTCTAAAAAGTAGAGCCCAGCGAGACACAATTTGTAAGCTGAAAGAGACTGTCAGAGTAGAAAAATGAACTGTCACAAAGTTGATATGCTAAAGTGGAACTTCTAAAATTTTAATATACACACGAATCACCCAAAATCTTGTTAAAATGCAGATCCTGATTCAGTAGTTCTGGAGTAAGGCCCAAGAGTCTCACTTTCTAACAAGGTGATGGCGGTGCTGCTGGTCTCCTGACCTCTCTTTGAGCAGCAGAGCACAGAAGGCAAGAGACTAAAGTTTTCACCTAGAATTTTAAAAAATTTTTCTAAAAACAAAGTTCTACCAAGTCAAGTGGGTCAGAGTGGCCAGTCAGAAATGCCACTAGCGGTGGAGGGGACAGTGCTAGCGTGTGAGGGTATGTATGACAACAGAAGACACAGACGCCACAAAAAAACTCCATTTAAAACTGGCTTGATTCATTCAGGGTGGATTCTATAAATTGTCCTAAATACCTCAATAGCTAAGGAGTAACTTTATTATTAAATGAGAATAAGATAAATTGGTTAATAAAAAATGAACCCCCTGGCATTTAAGTATTATTTTAAGAAAAACCGGCTTCACAATATAACAAGGATGAATTAAATACCACTGACTTCTATCATTCACTCTATATTCTGTAATTTATTGAGAAAGACAGTTTTCCAGTGAAAAGGGGGTTAGCAATGTTTTTATGGTCTTAAATTACACAATACTTATGAAGGCTTTTCCTTCCCCCTTTTATTTGTGGGCTTCATAGAATACGATGCACTTCTGTTCCCTGAAAAAAACTGTCAAATTCTCTCTTACTTAAGTGACTAATACCTGAAATATTGATATTTGTAATAACTTGCTCAAGAAGACCACATCAGATGGCCATGAATCAGTGTCATTGTTGGATCTGAACAAAAAATACTCTTCCGTTCCATCCCCGTTGCACAATTTCTTTTATGCTTACAGCAGATGTGGCTCACCACAGAGAACTTAATGGATTTTACAGGAACAGGTAGAATGCTTCAAAAAACATGTTTTGGGGATTTTTCCTAAGAAAAATTTAAAATTTCGACTAGAGACAGAAAAACTCAACTTTTACCCTACAAATGGATCACAATGGCTCCAAAAAAACCTGTTAAACCCATCTTTAGGAAAACAATAATAATATTACCTAATACTCATATAGCACATTCTGTGTGCCAGCTGTTTGTGCTTTTTTTTTTTTTTAATACTTTATTTATTTGAGAGAGAGTATGAGCGAGGAGAAGGTCAGAGAGAGAAGCAGACTCCCTGTGGAGCTGGGAGCCCGATGCGGGACTCGATCCCGGGACTCCAGGATCATGACCTGAGCTGAAAGCAGTCGCTTAACCAACAGAGCCACCCAGGCGCCCTGTTTGTGCTTTTTTTGATAACGGACTAAATCCCACCACCGCTCTATGAGATAGATACTAATATTGTCATGCCCATTTAGAAGATGAGGAAACTGAGACACGCAGGAAATGACTAATTAATTTGTTCAAGGGGATGAGTGTGAAAGTCAGGGAGCCGGGATTAGAACCCAGGCAGTCCAGCTAAGGCACATGTCACTTTGGTGCAGGTAAAGAATTTAAGAAAGGGGTTTTTTCTTTGGGGAGGTGTGGGAGGGACAGGCTGGAACAGTGACGGTTGTGCTCAGGTTAATATATTCTCTGTCTCTGGCCGTGGTTCACTCCTCAGCATTACCTAGTGATCTTAATGTCTAACTCAGATCCTAGGAAAGGAGAAAACACACTATTTTTTTAATCTATTACACGTTTCATTTCACACTTTTCAAGACAGAAGGGGTGGTAATTATTTGCTTCCCATGCACTCAGAAAGCCAGGAAGAGGTCAGAGGCACCAGAGTAATAGAAAACATCAACATCCTCTTAGAGGTATCGTGGGCTCTCTTGGGAATCAAGAGGAGTTAAAGGAACCAGAAGTCATTACATCAATGCTCATTTCATTCAACGATCCAAGGTGAACTGGCCAACTTACCCCTCATTGTAGATGTTGCCTAAGGGGGAAGAGAGTTACCAGACTCACACACAGGAACCCAAGTGTCCTACCTGTACCCCAGCCGGAACTCTGAGTAGAGATTGTGGCAACTCCCAGATAGAAGAATTGCCCCATTGGCTTTCAAACACACAGCAAGAAGAGCACGAGGTTTGCTCACTCTGCCTGGTGCTCTGGGCGTCACAGCAGGTCCTATCCCTTGAGCAAGTGGAGAGGCAGAATTGTAATCTCAGAGCTGCTTCCTCCCAAAGGGGAGAACGGCTTTCTAGAGCAGTGGTTCTCAACTCCAGCTGCAAACTGATGTGACCCGAGGAGCTTTAAAACACAGTGATACCTAGTCACCTCCACCCAGATTTTTGTTTAAGTGGTTTGGAGTCCAGCTTGGGCATCAGGATTTTTTTTTTTTTTTTTTAAAGATAATCGGGTTTTTTAACACAGCCACATTTGAAAACAACTCTACTGAAAGATTCAGGATTCAAGCCAATACTTAGTTTGGTATTTGGAAATAACAAATGCAGCTCTTTGATCCTCAGTTATGCTCATTTTTGCACTGTCGCTTGTAATAATGAAAAATAACACTAGCCAGAGAGTAACAGTTGCCATGAATGCAGGAAGCTGAGGACAAGGCCTGCCGCCCCTCCTCCTCTCCTCCTCTGGCAGAAGCAGCATCAGAAGGACCACTCACTGTTTTGCAATTTCCCTTTCTCCACTTTCTGGAAAGGTCAGTACCATTCCTTAAAATGTGTCATCCCACTGCACAGGATATTTTGTTCCTGTTGTTTCATAACATGCAAAATGGTCATAACATCCCAGAATGGTCCAGAGATGGTATCTTATCTTTCTGTCTGACAAGGGGCTCCAGCTGTCCAGGCATCAGAGGCCCTGCTGATTGGAGGGGATGGGTTTCCAAGTGGACTGACTTGCTTTAGAATGCTGCCTACCAAACTCCCATGTGAATATGATCACCTGAGATCGTGTTAAAATGCACATTCTGATTCTTTATGTCTGGCGTAAGGCTTCAGATGCTGTGTTCCTCCCAAGCTCACAGATGATGCCCCTGGTCCTAGTGGTTCATGGGCCACACTCTGACTAGCAAGGCCCGAGAGTCTCTCTATCTTTTCATTGGATGCTATTCCCAGGTAATACAGACTAAAGAATTGAGAAGACTATGGCATTTATGGAAAGTTCTGTTTTTGAAGTATTGAGGAAAAAGGACAGGCTTTGGCTTCGGGAATCTCCTTGTTTTCTGAGTCTGTTTCCTTTGTTACATGGAAAACAAAGAGGTTGTACTTGACTCCAGCAGTCCAATACTAAAACCCCTTTTGTTTCCAAGTTTTAAAGCTATATAATAATAGTAATGTCACGATTTTATATTTAACACTGTGACACTTCAACTTTATGAGCTTGATTTAAAAGTGTGATTTCAGTAGCACATGGGTTCCTTGAAATTTCAAGATCACAGTTTTCTTGAATGGCCATTTGACCAGCTGTTTGCATTTAATCAAGTATACCATCAGGGTCAAAGGATTATACTCAGCTACATGGCCTCCTAAGATTTTGCTTAGAAGGGTTTCGTTGACATTCCTCTGGCTGAATGGCAGCTGTTATGCTATATAACTAGAACCTATTTTGTTTCATATACAAACATCCAGGGCATTAATTTTTAGATGATAGTAACTCTGAAAGGGACTGTCCTCAGAGATCTAGATGACATCTACAACCTGATCATATAGAGAGGTCAAGAAACTATAATCCCCCAGGGCCACGAGATGGGGTAAGTATATTTTTGACTTTGCAAGACCACATCTAAACTTTTCTTCTCCTCTCCTACAGACACTCAGCTCCTTTGAGGTTTGGGGAAACCTCATAAAACCTCCCTCTAAGCACTGCTATCAGCTACTGACTTCTAGCTTACTCTTGATCACTAGTGACTTTGACATACATAGTTTTACACACATAGTGTTCCTCTCTCTGCCAGCCAACAGTTATTCTTCTCCAGGATGTCTTCATTCAAATGGATAAGGCATCCAAACTCATGGCCTCTTGTTTCCAACAGTCACTCATCAAAAACAATTCATCTCTGCTCACCCCACTCAGTCATTCACTTTCTGACATCTCCAAACACTATCTCGGAGCCTTCCAATAATCTTAGTCAAATAGTTGCAGTGATGATTCAAGTTAGCAGAACAGACCTGATGCTTTGATCCACTATTTTCTCACTCTCCATCAACCTCCTCCTGATTTCTCTTTACCCACCCTAGACTCCATAGCATATAGTTATGGTCACTTGCTTAAAAAGATCAACTCTTGTTAAGGACTAAATGCTTGTGTTCCCCCACAACCTGCCACCTCAAATTCTACTAAAATCCTAACTTCCAATGGGAAAGTATTAGAAGGTGTAGACTTTGGAAGGTGATCAGGTCCTGAGGGTAGGACCCTCTTGAATGGAATTAGTGCGCTTATAAAATAGACCTCACAGAGCTCTTTCTATCTTTCTGCCACGTGAGGATAGCAACATGACAGTCTATGAACCAGGAAGTGGGTCCCCACCAGACACTGAATCTGCCCTGTTAATAAGAATAAATATTCTTTGTTGTTGAATGTATCAAAAGATGTGAGATCCAAAAGGGATGTACTAGGTCTATAGGTAAGATCCCTCTCTTTGCTGATCAAGACATGGCAGTAAGTAAGTAATAGGTCAGTGTCATGGTTACTGGTGGAACACAGAATAAACGCCTCTCCTGATGTCCTGTGTCCTTTTTTGAAACTGCAGTCCTATTCTTTCCAACTTCTGAGGTACCTTCCTTCTCACCTTCCTTACTCATTTATGATCCTTTCTTTAAAAATGTATTTTGCTTCATCTGTGCTACTTTTTCAGTATTAAAATATAATTATGCTCGTTCACTACAAGTATATTTCCCATGTCACCAGTAAAACAAAAAGTGACTCAAATACAGCTTTTCATTTCTTTTTTGCACAGTTAGCTCAATTTATCATTGTTTATATTGTTTCAACCTTCTCCCACCCCCCCCCAAAAGACTGACTAGCTAAGTGAAAGAAATGGCAAATCATTTCTAAAGAGACTGCAAGATGTCTGGGATGGATATTGTTCTTCTGTAAATAGCTTTTAAGCTTGGAAACAGCAGACAGGAGAGATGCAAAGTAAAACAAACAAACAAACAAAAAAAAACCCACACAGACTCACTAAAAGAAAAAAATAAACAGAGGAGATCAACGCAACCAAGAAATAATAAAGGTTAAAAGGCTGTGTGGGGGTGGGGCCGGGTAGGGCGGCTGGGAGGAGGTGGTTTGGAGAGAATTTTAAGGGTTCACAGTAGTGGGGCTCTTACTAGCACCCAGTCTCAATCTTGAGAGTGGGGGAAGGGGCCGGAGTTCAAATCCTACTTCTCCCAGTTTCATCCATTACAGTGATGAGTGATAATTAACTATGGCTCGGAATAAGTTTTTCCATCTAAGAAATGAACTGCCTGAGGAGTAAAAACTGACACCAATCCTTCTCTGAGGAAGGGGTGGGGAAGATAATAAACGGAAATCTCTGGACAAAATTTTCTTTATCGCTCTGCTCTATTTTAAGAGCAAGATTTTTAGGGCATAATTTTCAACAAGTTTTGGCTGAGGCTGAACACAGGGCTTAAAGATAATTTAGGACACTTCAAAGAAGAGGCCAATTACCTCCGAACACATAATGGCCTAAACACACCGGGGTCGCATAATTGGCTAATAAACAAAATGACTACTGGAAATACTTTTTCGCAAAGCCGCGCTGCATGATATTCTGGGAGATGCGCTGCGTGAACCCGAAGTGGTAGCGAGACTATCAGGAAGGCGAAGGTAACCTGCACGTTACCTACCTGGGACGTTGTCTCTCCCGGCCTCCTTTTTCCTGGGCCCAACCTCAGGACTTTCTGGGGAGCTTGTGGAAGACCAAGAGGAGTAGAAGGAACAATCGATGAAACAGACACCTTTCCCCACCCTTCCCACTCCCCACCTCCAGGTGCCCGGAGATCAGTACCGAGCCCGCAGAGGGCGCGGAATCCGGGAAGGACCGATGCAGCGTGTGGCGACCACTGCATCTTGACCCTCAACTCCGCCGCCGCCACCTGGTCTCGCGCTCCTACCCGACCCGCTCACCTCTGCGTCCCCCACGCCGGGATGGAGTGAACCTGGCGGCTCTCCGGGCGCGGCGCCGACTCCCCCAGGGGCCTGCCCGGGCACCAGGGCCTAGGGACCGCGCCTCCGCCCGGCGGCTGCAGGGTGGCTGCCGCGGCGGTCGCGCTCCGGTTGCTTCCCCGCCTCCCCTAGCTGGATCGCGTATTGCTGGAGAGGAGGAGGAGGAAGAGGAGGGAGGCGAGTTGGAGGCCCGCCTCGCAATGACGCGCCGCTAGGGGCTGCGCGCGGGGAGGGCGCCGAGCTCGCTGCCAGACTCGGAACGCCGACTGGAGGGCCGGGCCGGCGGAGGTGCGGAGCGGTGCGGCGCCGGGAATTCCGAGAGGCCCGGGAGGACTTGGAGAGAGCTGGGGAGGACTGCGATCGCCGACCCTTGCAATCAGTGCGGCTGGGAGCCCGGCTGCTTCGCTCCAGCTTTGAGTATCCCCTAGACTGGGAGCTGCGGAGTATCCGCCTCTTGCTTGTGCCCCCCCATCAGCCGGCCCTCAGCCTCCGCAAGGCTCCCCCATGATTCCTTTTGAAGCAGGTCTAGAAAAATCAAGCCCACTTCTCTACTCCACTGCTTTTGTATTGCGTAGTTGCCTTTCCACTCAACACTTTGCTTTTTATTACGCCGTACACCACTCCTTCCCCCTTCCCTCTTCCATACTCTCAGGTCCTGACAAGTCTCCAAGAAACTGCGCTTTTTTTTCCTCTACGTGTTCTTTCCCTCACCTCTACCCACCCAAACCATCTTTTGTCTGGATTGTGTCCTTGTAATAAAAATGTTCAGAAATGCCCTTTCATGAACCATATTGTAAAACTCCCTCAGACAGAAGGATCCTCACAGCCTGCGGACTGCAGATTAATCTGTTGACTTTGACCTTCACTGTAGCCGGTGCCAAGCTAGCTCTGGAGTTGGGGAACGGAGGGTTATACCGGTGGTCAGGAGAACTGTGTTCCTGGGGAAAGCCACTTCACTCTCAGGGCCGAAATGGCCTTGAATGCCCAGGGGATCTCTGAGCTGTAAGGGCTCTCTGGTTTTGGGATTCTGCAAATTTTCTCCCTGCAGATTACCAAAGTAGTCATGATTTTATCTTTTGCAAGAGATCTTTAGCCTTAAAATGAAAACCAATTTAGGAAAATTCTCAAATTTGGGGAACATTTTTTATATGTTAGTAAATTCTCGTTTCAGCAAATTAACTTAAAAAATTATCTCTCCCCGGTGGTTTATTAACCAGGAAAAAAAGCCGAGAAGTGGGTCTTGGATCGATCACTGGACAACTGCACTTTCCCCTCTGTAGTCCACTCAGGTTAACCTTTGCAAATGCTGCTTTGGAAATACATTGTTTGACTTGACATTTACCCCCTCCCCCACCACCAAATATTATTAAGGTTTAAAGTTTAGGCATTAAGTTAAGCTTTTAGTGATGTTGGGGTGTTGACAGCTGGTGAAATTATTTTTCAAAAAAAATTTTTTTGGTAACTGGAAAAAAAAGTTAAATTTTGTACCAATTTTTATTTTTTTACTTCAATACTACTCTCAAATAATGAAATTAGCATTTTTTTAGCACTTCTGGAGGGCAAGTAGAGGAAATTCATGAATCTTAGTATTTAATGAAAAGTATGCAGCTTTCTCATTTTTTTAAAAACAATACTATTATATAACTTTCCAAAGGGTTATTTAAAAATATAGCACTTTCTATCCTAAAACTTAAACATGTAGGTACATCATGTATTTTATTTTAAATGATGGTGATGATGATTTATTTATTTATTTTTAAAGATTTTATTGTTTCAAGTAATCTACCCACAAATTGGGGCTCCAACTCAGGACCCAGGGATAAAGAGTCGCATACTTTACCGACTAAGCCAGCCAGGTGCCCTTAAACTGTATATTTTAAATATTTTTAAAAGATATCTTAACAGTGGACTATCCCCCTCCAACCCAAAAATCAAATACCAAAAACCAAAACCAATCAACCAAACAAAATACCACCCAAGTTATATGCAAAATCATTTAAAAGAGAATCAGTCAATAATTTGCCATTTCCAGGAGGAGTATCTGTTTTTCATATTTGAAGTATTAAAACGAACAAATATCATTGATGGAAAATCTCATGTTGCCAATTATGTCCCCCCCAAATTGTTGGCATTGATGCAAGCATGATTCCTTTCAGCTTATTCCAGGGTAACTGAAATTTTTACTACGGTTTTTGATTTGGAGTTTTAGAGAAAAAAAAAAAAAGATTTTTGCACAATTTTTCCAGGTCATGATGTGCTTCTGAGAAATCTCTACAGTTCGCTGAAGTAGTAATTGATTCCACTGAAGTATAGCAGTAATTTCATTAAATGGATCTCTAGTGGCCGAGAGGTGTTAACACATTTTTTTTCTTTGAAGTTATTATACAATTGAGTAACTTTAGAATCGTAGTTCCCAAAGTGTGGAACTCCAAGCAGTAGTCCCTCAAGATGTTCCTACAGTAATTCATTCACTGCAGAAATATTTATTGAGCTCCTACTATATCCCCTGGCCGGGGCCCTAGAAATATTGGTGAAGAACACAGATGTATATGTCCTGTTAGAATTTAGTTTGGTGGGGAAGATAAGTTACTAAACAATTGCAAATAAGATTTATACAAATTTGTTTACGCAAATAAAATAATATAAATCATGATGAAAACAACAGACTTTGAGATAAATAATAATAACGTTTTCATTTTAGAGATTCATGATTAATATTAATGGTTTAGAGCTGCAGAATTTCTACTGTAGAGACATTTACTTAATTTATTCCCCTAAACCCTCAAATTTGTTTTGAGCAATGAAATTTTGTGAAGAATGCTTATTTATAAATTAGAACCATTTTTTGTGAAACTGCTTTTTTGAAACCAAGGGATCCAATGAAAATACATTTGTCAATGCAGATTCATATATTTTAATAGATTAATAAATATACATATATGTGTTTGAAATAGGTTTTGTTTGAAGACAGATGATATAGAAACATAAGTACATTCATATATTTAATAGATTTATAAGAATAAATATATTTTTATGGATATTGTCTGAAAAAAAGACAGAAATTCTTATAAATCTACTGAAGTATATAAATGTACATCCGTATAAAACAGGTATTTTGAAGTTAACATGGTTTCATAAACATACTTCTATATATCAACATGATCTAGATACTTGTAATTCTTAATTACTCTGTGGTCCATAATATTAATATACAATCATTTTCTATCTTAAGCTTTAGTAAAATACATTTTCTGATGCTTTTACTAGTAAAACTAACACTGCTTTAGTTTCTTTGAATGATTTACTTTTGGGAGTAATAAGTGGAGGGAAGATTTCCTTACTAAACATTTAAAATGTGTATTTTTTAAAAAGATTTTTAAAATTATTTTAAATTTTAATTAAATAAACCTGCCCCAGGGTACAGGTCTGTGAATCATCAGGCTTACACATTTCATAACACTCACCATAGCCCATACCCTCCCCAATGTCCATAACCCAACCACCTTACCCCTACCCCTCCATTGCCCCACCAACCCTCAGTTTGTTTTGTGAGATTAAGAGCCTGTTATGGTTTGTCTCCCCCCTGATACCATCTTGTTTCATTTTTTCCTTCCCTATCCCCCACAACCCCGCACTCTGCCTCTCAAATTCCACACATCAGGGAGATCATATGATATTTGTCTTTCTCTGATGGCCTTATTTTGTTCAGCATAATACCCTCTAGTTCCATCCACATCATTGCAAATGACAAGATTTCATTTCTTTTTGTGGTTGCATAATATTCTCTTGTATATGTGTGTGTGTGTGTGTGTGTGTGTGTGTGTATACACATACATACATATATATATATACACACACACATATACCACATCTTCTTTATCCATTCATCTGTTGATGGACATCTAGGTCCTTTCCATAGTTTGGCTATTGTGGACATTGCTGCTATAAACATTCGGGTGCACATGCCCCTTCAGATCACTACATTTGTATCATTAGGGTAAATACACAGTAGTACAATTGCTGGGTGGTAAGGTAGCTCTATTTTTAACTTTTTGAGGAACCTCCATACTGTTTTCCAGAGTGGCTGCCCCAGCTTGCATTCCCACCAGCAGTGTAGGAGGGTTCCCCTTTCTCCACAACCTCGCCGACATCTGTCATTTTCTGACTTGTTAATTTTAGCCATTCTGACTGGTGTGAGGTGGTATCTCATTATGGTTTTGATTTGTATTTCCCTGATGCGGAGTAATGTGGAGCATTTTTTCATGTGTCTGTTGGTCAACTGGATGTCGTCTTTGCAGAAATGTCTGTTCATGTCTTCTGCCCGTATCTTTGAATTGATTATTTGTTCTTTGGGTGTTGAGTTTGATAAGTCTTTATAGATTTTGGATACTAGCCCTTTATCTGATATGTCATTAGCAAATATCTTCTCCCATTCTGTCAGTTGTCTTTTGGTTTTGTTGACTGTTTCCTTCGCTGTGCAAAAGCTTTTGATCTTGATGCAGTCCCAATAGTTCATTTTTGCCCTTGCTTCCCTTGCCTTTGGTGATGTTTCTAGGAAGAAGTTGCTGCAGCTGAAGTCAAAGAGGTGGCTGCCTGTGTTCTCCCCAAGGATTTTGATGGATTCCTGTCTCACATTGAGGTCTTTCATCCATTTTGAGTCTATTTTTGTGTTTGATGGAAGGAAATGGTCCAGTTTCATTCTTCTGTATGTGGATGTCTATTTTCCCAACACCATTTGTTGAAGAGGCTGTCTTTTTCCCATTGGATATTCTTTCCTGCTTTGTCGAAGATTAGGTGATCATAGAGTTGAGGATCTATTTCTGGGCTCTCTATTCTGTTCCATTGATCTATGTACATGTTTTTGTGCTGGTACCATACTGTCTTGATGATTACAGCTTTGTAATGCAGCTTAAAGTCTGGAATTGTGATGCCACCAACTTTGGCTTTCTTTTTCAACATTCCTCTGGCTATTTGGGGTCTTTTCTGGTTCCATATAAATTTTAGGATTATTTGTCCCATTTCTTTGAAAAATATTGATGGCATTTTGATAGGGATTGCATTAAATGTGTAGATTGCTTTAGGTAGCATATAAATTTTCACAATATTTATTCTTCCAGTCCATGAGCATGGAATGTTTTTCCATTTCTTTGCGCCTTCCTC